AGAGGGGTGTGGAAAATTTTTAATGTTTAAAAGGGGGAATCCCTTATTTGGACTTTAGGTATCAATCCCTTTTTTGGGGTTACTTTCCCCCCTTCTTTTAACCCTTTGAGGGTTTCGGACGTACTAGTACGTTTTACACGTGGGTTTTTTGACGTACTAGTACCCCAAATTTAGCGGCAAAACTCGGGAAAAGGTGGTAGGCCTACATGTGAAGGAAAAGGGGCTTTGGCGGTAGAAAAAAAAACTGGGGAAATGGGTTCATTTAAAAACCCCAAATCTTAGTAAACAAATCCACCCTGCCCCGTGGTAAAAGGGTTTCCCCACTCCTCGGCGAATTGGGCACTTTTTGTTCCCCATAACAATTCTAATACAGATGGAAAAGGGCCCGTGAAAATGAGTTTCAAGGTTTTGGCGGGGTTTTGACCGAAAAAATAATGACCAAATTATGGTATAGTGAGGAAAACCCAACGACCCTCAGCCTTCCCCCTCTGTGTGGGCCCCTCTTGTTCAGTTCAGTTGTACCAGAATCCAAAAAGGAAATTCTTTTTTCCCCCAAAAAAAACCAACTCGTGAAGGGTGTGTGATGTAGTGATGTGAATATGAACTACAAGTTTCAAACTAGTTTCAGTAGTGTAGTGAAGTGCAATTTTCCCCCCGGAAGCGTCAGTTTTACGACGTATTGCGCTCTGTAGTGTGCCATATGCTTTTCCAAGGGGAAGGAGTGCATCTCAGAGAAACCTCCCGGGGGTGTCAACGGAAAGACATTTAAAAAAGACAAGATATGTTGCAAAATTGGGGGTGGGAAAAAAGGGGTGGGGGGGGTAGTGGTGCCCCGGGGGTGAGGCCCCGCGTGGGGGCCCTGCTGCCCCACGCCGCTGCCTCAGTTGACTTTCCAAAAAAGGGCCCCCATCCCCCACCCCCCACCCCACCACCTCCGCAACCACAAAAAAACCATGTCTTTTTCCCGTCCCCCCAGCAGACTGCACCCGGGATTGGCGGAAGCTGTCAAAATTTTGTTCCAAAGCCCACCAGTTTGTGACACCCAAAGTGGAAAACGGCCATCTTGTACACTTGGGAAATGCCACTGAACTGGATTGTTTTTTGAGTTATTTTTGACGAACCAATGATGGAAAGTATTGTCATGGAAAGCAAATACTACCTTTCACCATGGCAAACATTTTTTTCACCCCAAAAACAGTCTACACCCCTGGAAGGAAGCAATGTGGCTGAGATTATCTTTTCTTTGCCACAATAAATGTTTGCCCCATGTGTTAGCACAAAATGAAATCATAGGTCAACAGACCCCCTGATTGCAACCCAGGTTTCAGGATATAATGCCCTGAATCGATTTGTGCAAATGTTAGATTTCACTTCTCAGACCAAAAATAGGCCCGACAGAAACGAAGGGGATATAAGTTAGGGAAAGTGTTTGTGTATTGAAAAAAAATTCGTACGATTTTTATCCCTTCGGAAGCTTGAATTGACGAGTCTTTGATTTTTTAAAGGGAAACTTTTTTTTCAAACTACATACCAAACAAGAGGAAACCTTTTTTATAAGTTGTTTGTGCTTTGTGATTGTTACAGTGGTCTGGTATTGGATTTATTGTGTACATGGAAGTTTTACTTGCAAATACCAGGAAGTTTTGGGCATCTCAGGTGATGTGGGGTTTGAACAATGTAGAACCATACCTTTGGAAGGGGCATTAGTATATCAGTAACGGGACACAAGCCCCTCACTCAGGACTTTTTAGTGAACATGACAGATGTGTGTGGCCCGTGCGTGCAAAACGGGAAAAATATGCCCCGGTTTGACACGGCACCGTGGGTGGGTGCAGGCGTTTGCTCCAATGAAAACAGGCATTTCGGTGGCATGGAAAAAGAGATGTACACTGTTGTCTCTTTTTACCTAAGAAAAGGCAACGTGGCAGGCAGCATAGAGAGGCAATAACCCATTCTAAAACCTGCAGTGTGATTGTACACCTTTTAAATGCTTCAGGGCAAATGTGAAATGCGATTGGGTTGCGATTGTGTTCGCAAGAGTTTTAAGTGGTACATAAAACTCTTTTTCCTCTTTTGGGAATTTTCCCTGCCAAAGCTTTAAGTATAAATGAGGACCCGAAAAAACCCACGTTTTCTGTACGGCGAATTCTGTTGTCTGTATCGACAAATATATTTCAAGTACCAAGGAACACCACCTGCAAATTTACCGCCCACCAAAATTTTCAAAAAACCCGTGTTGAAAAAGGGGGATCCTTCCCGGTAAAAGTGCCTGCATGTTTTAAAAAAAAGGGTCAAAGAGGTGTTACTCTGTTCAATACAAAAAAAAAGCCCACAACGAGGACACTCGTTTTTTTTTTGTGTGGGAAAGTAAAAACCACTGTGCATGACACCCGTTTTAAAAATTCCCAAAGGGTGCAGAAACTTCTAGAAAAATTCCCCGTGATGTATATGTGTATATTAAAAAAATGAAAAAAAAGAATAAACAAATTTCTATTTTTTGTTTGTGTAAATATTTTTTAAAAAACAAAATAAACAACAGTGTTTACCCCTTATTGTGTAGATTTAAAAAGAAAAAAAATTACAAAATCGTATGTTGGGGCCCCAGGGCCAAAAAGTTTTTCAGAAAAAGAAAAAAGAAAAAATTTGAAAAATGTACATAAAAAAGTAAATGAAAAATAGGGGTGACCCGGGAGTCGGCGGGCGTTACCCGATGTTTTATTTGGCAAACTTTTCCCCCTCCCTATCTGGGAAGTATTGACGGGAAAAATTTTTTTTGTTTAGCCTATAATGTTTTGAAAAAAAAAATTTTTCATAAGAAAAAAATTTATATTTTTTTCAAATTTGGCTGACCCGAGAAAGAGTTTTGGAGAGGGCCTGTTGCCCCCCCAAAGGGTTAAGCCATAGGACCCCTTAAGAGTCATGGGCCTCTGTTGCACAACATATCTGTCAAGACTCTGTAAATTTGTTCCTTTAGTTGTCTAAAGGGTTCATAAACACTGTCCCCTTGTTAACGTCACCCCACAGCTTGCAATGCTGTGGGGGTGTTTTCATCCAAAAAGGGTTTTCACTTAAGTCACTTTGCACACATTTCCTTAATCTCTTTTTTTCCCAATTCAAACCAATTCTCACCCTTTTTACCCAGGGATGGGCCCAGAAGATTTCTTGGGGTCCAAAATTTACTTATTTTTCAGGTACAAACACTAAAAAACTGGGTAATGGAATGTAAAGAAGTATGCGGGTGCGACCGCCTGGGCTGGCTTTGTAAACATGCATCAGGCCACACCCTGGAGGTTCGAACGAATCGCGTAGGGCGATTTTTTTAGCGTTACCAAAGGGAAAATTTTTGCGTTAAAAATTTTCGTATGCTGAATTTACATTAGGGGGATGCCCTCGTTGCTGAGGGTCCCCTGTATAAAGTAATAAACATGGAATAAAGCATTTAAAAATTAAAATTTGAAGCATGATAACCCATTTATACATTCCCACTGTTTTACACCTTTTTTGGGTTTTTAATATGTGTAGTGACTGGCAGCAGAATGTCCACCCAAATAAAGTATCCCTTTTCCCCCCCCCCTGCATTTATGTGGAAACAAAATCCTTTAATTGTTCTGCACTCAGGAAGGGTGTTGATCTTTTCTTCCTGTTCTGAAAAATTTCTTACGAGGCAATTCTTATACAATTTATGAAACCCTTATACACCACTTTTCCCCCTGGGTTTTAGTATTTTATTTCGCGGTATATTTTCATCCCAAATTAAGAAGCCTTATACAGCAGGGCGTGAGAATTTTGGGGAGGGGGGGTGGGGAGGTTGAGTTTTAGGAGCTTAACATCCCGCAGGCTTTTTATAGCATTTAAATAAGGGTAACAGAGACAATTTGGTTTTTTTAAAGGTAAAGGAAATTTTAAATGCTTTCTTGCTTAGAGTACAGTTCAGTGTCGAGTTCATTCAAGGCAGAAGAGATAAAGATGGAATAAATATAGAGATCATTTACTGCCCACAAAGCTAATAAAGTATTTAAACTACCTAGAATGCCTCAAAGTACTGAATAGGTAATCAATGGAGCAGAGAAACGAGAGTGGTACTTTGCATAACAATATAAACGGCATGTGAATACTGGAGGATTTAATCCCAGCCTATGCACTGCCATAACAATATTCTAGAGCAAAAGATTTGGTAGAAAGTGTAAAATGAACCCAGTAAAAAGCAGGGGTGCCATGGACACTGTCAGAGTACTGGGTAATCAACTTTTGTGAGTCTAGACCATTCAACATACTACCAGCAGATATCACAAATATTGCCGTAACAGCTGCAGAATTCTTCAAGAGAAAACTCAATCACTACCTCCATCAAATGCCAGATCAACCAGGGTGTGATGGATATGCAGATCAGTGGGCTGTCAACAACAAAAGCATTTTTGACCAGGCAAGCACTAGAAAACCCTGGCTCCAAGCTGAGCTGTTGGAGCAGAATGACTCTTGAAACTGATTACAGGTATATCATAGATGCAGTAGAGACTATATTCACTGGAAAAAACTTTTAAGATGAAACAATTTCTATACCACTGACATGACACCATGAACATAACTTTGGTCATAAACTTAGAAATAAGTAAATAGACAAGAAAATTCCAAGCCAAGTACAGTATGTTGGAATATCCTGTCACCAGTCATCAAATTTCCTGTTGGCAAATCAAGGTTTTCCCAAGTGAAGAAAGTGACAAATGTCACTAAGTTAACAGTGTATGCACCATAATTTTCTGAAAACACAAGTTTTACATAAACAATCTTGTGTTCTACAATACTGAAATTAAATACTGAGGTCAAGTATACAATGTTACATTATATATTTTATATTACTGGAATAAGTGAGCACAATCAGAAACAGTAAAGCATTAATGACCAGTTTCAAGGTCAAAGAACAAGCCAGTTAATTTCTTGGTGTTACCCAAGAATAGGAAAAGAATGACCCACAACAGTCTTCCTAGTATACATCAACTCACCCATATGATCAAGTTCCAATGCTGTGTAATGCACATTCAACTGGTTGAAAAGATCCTTCACCTGAAACAAAGTAACCTAAGTTATTTTAATAATTAATGCTGGAAAGGCTGTTTGTGTGTGATCAAAATCAATATCATTATTATCAATTCTAAACAGCTATATTTATTACTGCTATATTGTGTTTTACAAAGTTTATGAAAATCAAATACAGTACATGTCTATATTAAATTACTAATTTATTTATATTCTAACCCAACTTGTAGATATCAAAATAATTGCAGATAAACGACTAAGACTGCCTATTACAAGTTACTCTTTAATAAACATTAATTACTGTAAATCAATTTTAACTGATCCTAATAAACAGTAATTATAAAAATAATTCTATCAGACATAAAACTGATTACTTAAAAAGGGAATAAATTAGGCTCAACAAGTACAAACCTCGTATAATGGACTTTATTTAAACAGTCCTACTTAATAAGTAAAAATCGACACAGCCAGCCTGAACTTGGCCTAGCACACTCAGCTTCACAACAATAAGGCCATGGTTCAACTCCTCGTCATGGGTGGGAACCATTAGACGTATTTCCATACAGGCACCTCCCGTCCCGGTTCACCCTAGCAGTAAAATAGGTACTGGGTGTTTAGCCAACTCGTGGGGGTCACATCTAGGGGACAAAATTGACCACTAATTTCTTTTCCCTGAATGCTCTACATAACAAGGGCTTACTATATACTGTAGTAGTATGTAATTGATGTCAGCTAGGCCTGTATACATTGTACATGTACTTGTAGAAAAATTATTATTAACATCATCTATTTAATCCTGAACTGTCCATTATTGTTACTGTCAAATGTGTAAATGGATTAAAAATTTAATGGACAAAATTTGATAAATCCTGAATTGCACTTTATTCTCTTCCCCAGGATGCAACCCAAAACCAGCTACCAACACTTAAAAGGTACCTATTTACTGCTAGGTGAAGAGGAGGAATAGGTGTAAGGAAACATGACCAACATTTCTGTTCTTCCTAGAATAAAAAACCATCTTTGTGTAAGCGTAAGCTGCTACCAAGTGAGCCACGAGCACTTGTTTCAAGTGGAAGAGCCTTTGGCTTGGTTCAATCCAAGCACAAGTGGAAAAGTATAGAGCACATGTCTTTCCTTACATCGTTGCCCCTTTCACTAGCAGTAAAATAGGTACCCACCTGGTGTTTCGCCAACAGCGCTGTTGCGTTCGCATCCTCTCGGGAGTTATATTGTCCTCAGAGAACACGCACTAACCATTCACAGGCCCATGTAGCACCTGGGAAATGGAGAACATTGGTAAGTAAATAAGCTTAACTTTAAGCGCACAGTACAAAGTACACAATTATACATTGTGTAAATACATAGGATAACCCCCCAAAAGTCTCAAAGTGACTTATTTCCCATAAGTCCATTGTAGCTACCTGTTTAAACCTTAAAAGTTACACGACACAGCTACAGTAACTCCAAGTGCTGTAGAAAACTCAGGTCGATCCAGAAAGAGGAAAAGATTAATACAGTTTCTAGGGATGAAAGGTCCGCATTAAGAATGTTTCTCTTTGAAAGACAAATCCTGGGTGAGATTTAAGGACTTTAAATGAAAATATTTTGACACTAGGCTCCACTGAATAAAATTCCCTTATTCTTGAGAACATCGACATTTTGAAATTTTGGATAAGTAAGTAAGCTAGCAAGTAAGCTAAGCTTTATGTCAGGTCAACACAAATACAGTTTACTAAGAATTATCATACATAGCAGCATATGTTGTAGGGAACCTAGGATAACCCAAAAAAGTCAGACAGAGTGACTTATTTCCATTGGAATAATTCAAAGTAACAGCTACTCTACTCTCATTAAGGCATTTCATAAAACAAATGACAAAAGTAAAAGCAAAAAATGGACTCTCAACATTTATCAACTAACATGTGAAGATAATTTATACCATGCAGACAGCGACATAAACCTACCGTTCCATCAGTAACACAAGGGGAATGGGAGGGAAGCATAGTAGATCCAAAGAAAGGGAGGACAGCTCCAATTCCTTGGATCAAGAGTTCTTTACCTCTTGACTTTTTAAGGAGTGCCTTGACGCCGGTTGGAGGGCCTCTTCGCATCCCACTCCTGAACGCCTCCCTTTCCCCTGTGCTATATGACCCCCTTGGGTTTAGATTCTCATTTTGATGACTGATACCCCTGTGCACAGAACGGGCAGTAAGACTTGCTGAAGATCATAACGTTATTCTGCTTCGATATAATCTAGTACAGTTGTGAGGGAGGTAGATATAGCGCTGATGATGGGCGCCACGCGTGGCTGACCAGTGCTCTGTGGCGCCCTTAATACACCACCACACACACCCACGATGTTTCTTGACTTCCTCCTCTCCCTACCACTACACAACCTGCGCCCTCCTCACCACCCACCACACTGTCTGACAGGACGTGTGTATAACAGCGACGTGAACAGTGTCCCACCATGGAAACGTGAGCCTCCATGCTCACGATGCTGTACACTGCTCATGGCCAGCCACGCGCCACACTTACTACCTATACTCTCTCTTCTAACTCTTTATAACCTCTCCTAAAACCTCATAATTACCTCTCAGCTACCACAACGTCCAAACACCCTAATACATTTACTAATAGGGGACTGGTCTAATACTTCGAAGGAAATAGGGCGGCTTGAACCCTCACGTCCCGGCATTTATTGACAACCTCTTGGACATACATTTTTTACTGTTTCAACTTGAAATATCAACTTTATACATAATGTAATCAGGTGATACATTCTCTAATCTGCGCAAGCTTATAATTATATTTTTATGCACTCTTGTGACTATTGGTGGTTTACTTAACTCACTATTTTCATTATCTCTTTATCGAATTAAAGATAAAATATAATTTAGCAGGTCTCATGACTCATAACAATTGTTCATCTGAAAATATTGTTGCTTTTTAAAAACCTTTTAAGCTTACGTCTTGAACCTTCCTCTCAGTGCCGGACCCCTCAGCAGGACTTAAGCTTCTTTTATATAAAAATAATAATAAAAGTAATAAATGTAAGAATATGAATGCATGAAATAGAAATTGGAAAATGTGGCTATAATCCAAAGCCAAGTAATTGACTAAACCCCATCATAGAGGACACACTCACCTATCAGAATCCACTGACCAGGAATAACAAATAATAAATAAGAAGCGCGGGAAAACACAAATTATTGGAGAACCACTACACTATCTCAAAGAAAATCCATGTAGATAATAGCAGATCCAGAGCTATGGCTTCAACTTCCTCAACACCTTAGACGGCGCTAGCTCGAGGGACAGGCAACTAACGAAAATGCCTTGAGCGCTTTGGCTTGGTAAGGGACGCCATATGATCAATGAACACACGCTGTTAAGGGAAACAACGTGGCTAACGCCAGACCCATGTGCGAAAGGAAGGGACACAACGTGCTATGAGCCCCACGTAGTAAGGGAACGCTACGTAGTAAGCGACGAACCACGTGGGTTGCTCATTAGCGTTAACTTATTATATAATCCAAGGGAAAGCCCTAAACCGGTGGGATTTATACCGTGTCTGTGGGGATGAATGGTGGAAGGTAATCCAGGCTCAATTCAGGGAACTGGAGTACAGATCCAATTCCCTAGATTCACAGCCCTTAACCTCCCCACACAAGGAACCTTCCCTTTCGAGGGGCAATGTAACAAAGGTTTCAGCTTACTCTTACTGACAACTTATATGTGCGACCATTTTAAACACTTATTTCTCTCTCTGTTTTCTACATAGCAAATCCTCTTGTGTACAGGCAAAAATTCAATCCCAACGATTAATAATTATACAGGTGAGGAGAAAAAATTCTTAGCAAGTCACCATGACATGATCCTCAGACCATTAGATAGACTGAAATCAAACAAGTCAAAAGCACTCTCCAATGGAAATACGTCACTCGCAGAACATGACTTTTGTTGGTAATCCTATTAATTTACATTATGTGTATAATTGTACTGTTGATCAGCCCTGATGCCAACTATGATCCCTGGTCACAGACCGGACACTGGGGCGTTTGACCCCCGAAACCCTCTCCCCAGGGTATGGTATCATTGCCTAATTAAACCTACACCTGGTGCTGCAGAAAAACAATCTGAAGTTCACAACGATGCAGAACTTTCTCAGCTTACTCCAGATAAAGGTCAAACACGCACAGGAAATTAAATCTTCCATCAAGTAACAAAACTAATTCCTGGCCACAAAATAGAGCGAAACACCAACGTCATAGACTTGGAGTGATTCTCCGTCGGCGAGGATCACACTCACAGGACCATACATTGTAATCAATCGCATCCCTGCTACGAAAAATGACAGATGGATAAACGAAGACAACCTTCCACAGCTAGGGCGGCCAAGCCCATGATGACTCTCTTCAGCTCACTTGTTTCTATCAGCTGGAATATTGTGCACACAAACAGCACCTTTCAAGGCAAGTGAAATTGCTGACCTAGAAAAGGTACAGAGAACCATTTCCACGGCGCGCATAACGGAGATACACACCCTCAGTTACTGCGATCGCCCTTGACGTTCCTAAACCTGTATCCCGTAACGCAGGCGGGAGAGATACATGATAATATACACCACTGGAACACTTCCTACGAGGGACTAGTACCGAATTGCACAGGCCGAAAATCACTCACTCACTCACTATACGAAGCAAAAGACTTGGCAGCACGATGCACCATACCCCCCAACTGCAAAGCATGGGTTCACTAGCCACGTTAAGATACCATACAATAACGTGTCAGGCTGGCCCGCTACGACTGCTCTTCAACTGCCTCCCCGCATACTAAGGGGATTACCAACAGACCCCTGGCACTCCTTCAAGCTGGCACTGACAAGGCACCTAAATTCGGTTCCTGACCAGACCCCGGGCTGTGGCTCGCTACGTTGGTTTAGCGTGCAGCACAGCAACAGCCTGTTGATCAGGCTCTGAATCCACCAGGAGGCCTGCACAGACCGGGCCGCGGGGGCGTTCACCC